GCATCATAATATAGTGTTCAACCTAGAAAAGGGTAAGAAGTATGTTCGATGCGCTTTCCTGGACTATACTTCTGCTTTTGATTCTATATCAAGGCAACGTTTACTTAACAAGTTAATCAGCGTCAACACTGACAGCTGGATAACCAACTGGCTATGTTCCTACCTCTCTGGAAGGGAACAGTACACGGTGTTTGGAGGAAAGTGTTCAGAGTCTCTAGTGTCTTATGAAGGTGTACCACAAGGAGCTGTTCTTTCACCTCTTCTTTTCTCTTTTTTTCTGCATGATCTGCCATCTTCCACAATAAACACTTTCGTGAAATATGCAGACGATCACACTGTTTGTATGCCTATCTCTTCCTCTTTACATCCTATAGAAATGAACGAGTTTTTATCTCGCATTGATAGTTGGTCTGTCGCAAATGGTCTCCTACTTAATCCGTCTAAATGTCAAGCTGTTAACTTTAGCATGAGACATGATCGGCATTTAAACACCTTTTTGAGATCTCATAATGCTTGTGCCATTGGCGACTCTTTGATAAACACAGTGTCGACGGTCAATTATCTTGGTGTTACCTTTTCCTCTGACCTCTCTTGGTCTTCTCACGTTTTATTGTTATCGAAGAAAGTTTTCCGTCTGACTTACTACATTAAGAGGTTGCATGTCTTTGGGATCACTCGTCATTTACTCATACAATTTGTCAATTCTTGCATATTACCTATTATTCTTTACTGTTCTCCATTATTCTTTCCCGGGCTTTTGAGAAAAGACTTTGCTGTACTGTGGAGAGCGCTGAAGGCAGTTAGCAAGGTATGTGGTGAATCTTTCGAGACCATAATTAATATGATTGTGGATAGACATCTAAAATCATGCAAACTTCTGGCAGATGTTATTTTATCAGATACTAACCATCCCCTTCACTCATATCTTTCTCCTTGTATATCTTCTGTTAGAACGAGACGAAATTACATTAAAATCCAAGCACGCAAGCAAAAGTATAAACGTTCTACAGTACCTTACCTAGCAAATGTACTCTGTGACGAACAGGTTTTTAGAGTTAACCTAGTCAATAATGTGCATTCTTAACATGACTCTAATTGAAAAGTTGTACAGATTTTTTTCTTTTGTTCTGTAAAAGAAACTTGTTGAAATATTTTTGTGCTGAGAATTCTATATTGTACCAAAATATAATATTGAATAAAGCCATAAATAAATAAATAAATAAATAAACGAGGTTAGTAAGATAGAACCCGTCAATGTCTGGCAAACATGAGCTGGAGCCACACGTTTGACATATTGCTAGGCAGAAGCTTTCGGTTTCATATCTCTAGTCGTGTGCTTAATAAACTGGGGCAATACCTGAAGCATCAAATGGACGGACAGTAGTAACCGTTTACATTTTTATATCTAAAACCGAAGGTCACTAGTCCGGGGCACTCAGCGTTCGGCAGGTTTGTTGCCCGGGATCTGACACCATAGTGAGCGACGAAGAATGAACCTCCCATTTAATACCGTATATAAGACTGAAATTAATTCCGTTGGTCATAGGTGGTAATATATGTCAAATATAGCCTCAATATGAAGAGTTTGCTTCGAAAATCCGCTTGCAATTACTTACAACTGTTACTGTTTCAAGGAGAGCATAAACCGCCCACATGTATAATCAGTCAAAAATTCACGAGTAATCCTTTCCGATTGTTTCCAGTTGTTATTCACCCTTTTCATGTCCGCTTACAATTCCCAACGCAGTATGTTCTTTGGTTTTCCTCTTTTTGTTTCTCTTCAGGATTTTAAGCTAGTGCTTGCCGCATGATTGAGTTAGATGATATCCATGATGTGTGTCCTATCCAGTTCAGAGTCTTTTCTTAATTTGCTCTTCAACTGAGTGCTGGTTTGTTCTCTTCCACGGTAGGCTGTTGCTGATTGTATCCGGTCAACGGACATCGAGTATCCCACACAGAAAACTGTTTATAAATACTTGTACTGTTTTGATGATGCTCGTAGTAGCTCTTCAAGTATCAGCTCCATACAGTAGAACTAACTTGACGTTCGTGTTGAAGATTTTAGCTTTGATATTGATTGACAGGTGTTCTAGGTTCCATATGTTCTACAACTGCAGGAATGCAGCTCTTGCTTAATCAATCCCCCTATGTACGTCTGCATTAGATCCTCCACTTTGATTGATAATGCTACTCAGATAAAAGAAACTTTCCACCTCTTCTACAGTTTCTCCATTAAGTTTGATAAGGTTGGTGTTCTCCATGTTGTATTTGAAAATCTTGCTTTCTCCTTTGTATATGTTGAGGCGCACTGATTCAGAGGCTTGTGCTACACTAGCTGTCTTCATTTGCATTCGTTGGTGTGTGTAGAATAGAAAAGCTAGGTCATCTGAGAAATTCAAATTGTTTAACTGCATCCAAGCTGACCACTGTATTCCGTGCTTCTCCTGAAATATGGGTCTTCATGGTACGGTCAACCACCGGAACGAGAAAGGAGGAGAGTAAGCGGCCTTGCCTCACACCGGTTTTCACTTAGAATGCATCAGTCAGTTGACCTCCATACACGACATTACACTGTAGTCCGTCGTAATAATACCGTATGATATTGACGATTTTCTCAGGCACTCGTTGGTGTCGATAAAGCTACCGTAAGGTCCTCCTATTCAAGCTGTCAAGTGCTTTCTCATAGCCGATGAATTTGATCTATAGTGATGAATATCAATAAGTTGATTGTTCAGTGATGATCCGTAATGTCGCGATTTGGTCTGTGCAAGACCGATGCCTATGGAATCCAGCCTGTTTATTTAAAGTTGGTCGTCTATCGAATCTTTCACTCGGTTTGATAGCACTGTAATGCAGGCTTTTCACAGTACATATATTAGTGTGATTCCTTTGTAATTCTCACACTTATTGAGATCTTTTTCTAGTAGATCAATGATGCATCCTTCATTACAGATAGTCGGAACACTTTCTTCATTCATGTTCGTTCTGATTAGGACGTGAGGCATCCTTCCAGTCACCAATATGTCTGACTTCAGTGCTTCAGTTAGAATATTGTCAGGTTCTACTGTTTTTCCATTCATAATTTGTCTGATGGCCATTCGAATTTCTTCGATTGTTGGTGGAATGACGTCTATACGAAAGTCTGTGTGTGCCACTTCAGTGTCTTGTGGATTCAGTGGAGCTGGTTTGTTAAAGAGCTCCTCAAAGAGTTCCACTTATCTCTTCCTCTTTTCTTGAATCTCAGTGATTAACTCACCTTTTTTTCTGATTAGTCTCTCTTGTTTTTGCTATATTAAGCGTTTGTAGTGTATCACAGTATCATTTCCAAATGTAATATTTTCTGTCGAGCTCGGATCCAATCGGTTTTACTCGTCCCTCGAAACGTCAAGTTGTATCTCTACAGCTATTTGACTGGTCATCCTACTCTTCTACACTGTTTTGAAATTCCGTCTACCTGTATTCATTGTTGTTCTGTTTGTTAGAAGGAGCATCGGCCTCCCGACCTTCGAAGATCTCGGTCTCAGCCATAATGTGTCATAATTCTTCTAAGTAAATATCGTTTAACTTCTAGTTCGGAGTTTAAATGATTTGAATCGTTTTTTCTGGCCAATGCTTTTCAGCAAGTTTTTTTTGAGGAATGAGTTTGTTAACTTCACACCCAACTATTCTTTAACCGGGCTTGAAACCGGTAGAAACCTCAAAATGGCTACAAACGGATTTGTCTACTTACGGATGGTCAGAAGTGCGACATGGAGTAGTGCTTTTCAGCCTACATAAAATTAGTAATCATTAAAGGCAGTATTATAACCCAAAACAAGTCTGCATACATACAAGCATATATGCATAATTGCAGAGTCGCAGAGGCATGAGCATAAATGTTATACGTGTTGAAGATAACAACTTCCCATGAAAAGAACGTAGTCAACACGATGGCTAAAACGACTCAACAGTCGCATGTTATCTGAGTTATCAAATGCCGTCCATAAGTTAAAACAAGCAATGTAAGCTTATTGTACCATATGCTACACAGGAATTTTTTATTTATGTATTAGGTTGTATTCTAGCTGTTTGACTCTGGTGAAATTTAGAATACAGCTATATTCACAGACAACACATAGTTAATGCTCTCACTTAAGTCAGCATGCAACAAATAGTTCAGTCGTGACTTGCATTAACTACACTAAATATCATGACTTACTTGATATAATAAGAGGTTTTAGGAGTGGTGAGCTTCATTGCAAATGTTTCGCCTGAACAAAACAACACCAATAATGTCTAAATTCAATTATAAAAAAAGATGAAGGGACATTTTTCGAGTTTCGTTGAGACATGATGAATTTAACTCGTAAAAATTGGACACACTCCCACGTGACTTAAGTTTAGGATCACTAGAAAAATAAGAGAACTAGGTTCGGGCTTCGTGCGTTCCTTACTTCAAAATTAATAAGGCAATCGTTCATCACGCTTACTCCTTCAACCAGACAGTGATAAACTAGCAAAATCGATTCGCAATAATAAAATAACTAACCTATGGTATTATCAGGAATACTATTTCAACACACAAAAAATGAATAAGAATGAGGCACACAAGCGGGTAAACGATCGAATGAACCAATTAGAACGTTTTTAATCATTCATGGTGCATACAATAAGCTCAAATATACAGAACTTAAAAATTGACCGTGACACATAACTCGGATCTACTACTACAGTCACCTATTCCTGTCCCGTATTTTTGGTTCCAATAAAAAACTGTATAGGAATCAGATGGAGTTGCTGGATGTGCTGAATGAGCTTGACAGAGCTTGGACAAAACTTTATCCTAGTTTGTGTTTATCACCCAGAAATCAGTGATTTTAGACATGTAATGGGGTTCTGATACCACAGTCTTTTGTATCTGTCAGAAAGCTTGTATATCTGTTTCCTGAAAAATGGTACCAAGGCAATGATATTGCCCAGCCTTACTCATTCATTTTTATCTTTTCGCTACTTCAAATCCGAAGGACGCTTGTCGACCTTGAGACCGTTAAGTGTTAAATATTTTCTATTTACTGGCTGCTTCTCGTTCACGTCAAAGTCCCTCATTATTGTTGGTTGTACATAGTACTCAATGTAAGTGCATGCTGTGAGTTTTGAGGGTTCAGGGACTCATCTGCCTCAGAATTCGGGATCTTTATTTTTGCTTGCATATTTGTTTTCTGGATTACTTCCTCGTTTTCGTATACATTAGTTCAGAAACACTCCAAAATAAAACTCGACTTTTCGCTCTTCTGAAGAGAGACAAAGCATAGATTAGACATAAACCTGTTGACGTCTAAAATATATTTGCTATGATATGCGACGAGGCTTTCATGTAAGTCGGCATACTTAAAGTTTCTTTATTCTAAAATAGATCTTCGTCTTTAGATAACATGTCAAGCGAAGACGTAGTCAGTTCCTGGCATACTGACATACAACCCGCAGTCCAGCATCACATCGACCTTAAGTCAAAATTGTGGTCAAAAGAAATTCAGTTGGATGTTTGTGATAGATTTAGTCTTTCAACACTTCTTGATTTTATGAATATGATTCGAAATTTGTCGTCTACTCACATAAAAAATAATCCTACATCATCTGACTCACCAGTGGACCACACTTACTTGAGTCTCCCTTCCAGTGTTTGTTTGGATAAAACTTCACTGACATTGCATTATCCTCTCAGTGATTATGGCTCTGTACACGATATTCTTTGTAAGAAAGGGGGTGGTTTGAACGAAAAACTGGTATGCGCCATTATGGGTCGAGTAGTATTGTGCCTTGACCAATTGCATAATAGTGGTTTACTTCATCGAGGTTTATGTTCGAAACATCTACTTTTCAAAAAAACGTTAGATCCCAACTCAAAGTCTCATAAATTGAGTGTGGTTCTCTGCGGCTTGGGAAGTATGGCACAGCTACCACCATCCTGGAGTACTGTGGCGCGAAACGATCTGCCCTTCCTTTATGTTGCATGGCGTGGTTGGAGGTTGCATGAATCGTCAGGCGGTGAATCATATAGCCATCCAGTAGCATGGTACAGCCCGGAGTTGTTGGCACAGGATTTTACTGGATATTCGTGGTCTTCAGATATATATAGTTTAGGTCTTATTTTGTACGAAATGTTCACTGGTCAACCACCATATACAGGATGTACTCCTTCTCTTATATTCCTGAAGAAAATGCTCCAGCTAGATTTCCCTCAACTTCACCATGTAAGTCCTCTTTTTCTAAATATGTAGGCCCTTTTTAGTTGAAGAAATTACGTTCAAAAGCATATTATTTAAAAATAAAAACTGATGAATTTGTATGTTGATTCGAATTAATGTACTAAGAATTTACGAAATAATGCTATTTAAGGCGAGTAGAACTAGATGAGCACAATTGGGCGTGTTATATTCGTGACTCAGCGCGTAATCATGTACCAAGAATTCGTCAGTTAGTACAAATACCACAATTTGTCGACTGAGATCTCCACTGCTTTCCATCAGTAAAATCTTGTAAAGATAAATTGTATGCGAATTGTACCTGTAGGTTGTCGAGCAACGAAATTATCTAACATCGGCTCCATAAGCAGTTTATGTAAGATGCTTTTGTTAAATTTAAAATTTCATCAGATCAAGTTTGAGGCTTTTTGCAAACAAGTATATGTTATTGATTACTTTGTTGCTAGTTAACTTGATTGTTTTTCCAACTCGTTAATCTCCTTTTTACACTCCACACTGTATGGATTTAACTATTAAAAAGACGAACAATTTACTCTACGACGTATATAGTTCAGTTCTCTCACTTTCTATACGTAATTCGGGCTGGAATTGTTACATTGCTTTCGTTGAATTATCTTCTTTACGCAAATTCATTTCATTTGTCCACTTTCTGCATATATTGTAGAACGAAATGAACTTTAATCCATCAGCATCCATTTGATCCAATTAGTCACAGTGTGACATGCAAATTATCAGTAAGGTAGATAAAATGGTAATTACAGACACCATTTATTGTAGTTTTTACTACATACTGCTTGTCGACCAGTGATAAAACTTATTGGACGAGCCATTATCTGCCTTCCGATTCTGCACAAGATATATTTTCACTGGTTGAAATCATGAGTTAATTGAAGCTAGACCACCATGGGAAACCTGGAAGCACTGGACGGCCTGATGGTCGACCTATGGTTAAACGCTTGCTCGCGAGACTGATTGGTCCTGGGTTCGAATCTTGTGGGAGGCAGGATCGTGGATGCGCACTGCTGAGGAGTCCCATACTAGAACGAAACGGCCGTCCGGTGCTTCCGGGTTTTCCATGATGGTCTAGCTTCAATTGACTCAAGATTTCAACCAGTGAAATTTCTAAACCCCTTCTGAAAATATATTTTGTTAGAATATGATGGTAATCAGAATTAACTTCATCCATATTCTGAAGGCTTTCCACACACAGCACACTAAACTTCTGTAATCCTTTGCTGTATTTTTGCAACAAACTATTCACTATGTGCTATTTATAATTCTTCAACAACTGGCGGTAATCAGTTTAAGTTTTCCCAGCTCTTGAGTTCATCGTACACTTCAGCCAAAAATGCCTCGCTATCTACTGTTAAATCTTAAGTTAATCAATGAATGATAGTGGATTGTAATACAATTAAGCATACCTTAATAATATTCCAATTATCAGTCCACATTTGAATAAAAGGGTTCTAACTGATTTTCTGTAATCAACTATTATTTATTTTCATGGGTATGTTTAGTACCATCAATTGCTCATAACTTGATAAACCAATGTCCACGTCTTATTCGATATACGAGTAAACGGGGAGCAATTGTAGAGTGGCCGTTCATTGGAATTAGGTTAGAAGTTTTTGTTACTTCTGTACAGACAACTTTGCAGGTTCATTTATAACTACTAGACGTACACAGTTAGTAACTTTTTGAAATATTTAAGATAGGAAGTCAATTGATATTGAGACCAACTCTTAATATTTTTTATCCCAACGTATATTGAACTTCAATCTAGTACAATCAAACATCACCGAGTCGTTTCATACAAATCCAATTTAGTCCTACAGACAGGTATGAAATTCATGTTACCGTTAGGTGTTTTTTTACCTCTTTCCAAATATACTGGGTATGCTAGATTTTTTTCATTTAACCTTATTTAGCAGTGTAGGTAGGTGCAGACTATCTAGTTTCTGTCTGCACGGTTATCGTTACTAATGACTGGGTACGTCGGGCGACATGGCTTAAGACTAGTAGCAACGGTTCGGATGCTCACTCTTTTGTCTCTCGTGAAATAATAAGTCTTCTTGAATCGTATTGTCTACGCCCAATCTTTACTACTACTATTATTTTTGAATTACATTTAACGAAACAGTATTCAGCTGTCTATATTAATAGCTAGTAAGATTGTGTTAGCCTTTCACATTGAGTTATCAATTATATGTATAAATATTGCGTTTCTTCCATGGTTATACTGCAAATTTTTATATCTTACTGGGGTTTACACTCGTTTTCGCTAAAATATTTTGTCATTCCATTCCTCCTGTTTATTTCCCATTTTCTTAACAAGAATGAAATTAATCCGCCCAGTGCTGAAATGGAGGCAATTTACAAAGCCTGTACGCATTATGATCCAAAACAACGTCCATCTACAAAAGATTTACTAAATATGCCATGGATACAAAATGGTTTAAACATAGTTATCACAACTAGCGAGTTAGATTCCTTACGTTGAAATACAGTTACTCAACTAATCAAAACGGTAGTTTGAACAAGTGACATTCTCTATATTAGAAAACTTCTTTGCAGTAATATTCTTTATATTTTTACAATATTTACAGTGAGTTTATAAATCGAATGTACATATGTATGTATAAATCAGAATGAATGCATGGTCTAGTTTTTATTTGACTTTTATATCCAAACCATTTGGATAATGTTTTTTAAATCTTTCAACAACTGCTGGATCAACCAAATAAGTTCCGTCCAGTTGATTTCCAAGCGTGATCCTGTGGTTTTTTTTGTTAAAAAATTAAAACAAAAGCGAAAAACATTAACAGTATGGAATAGCACTGTTAATCTTATCGTGGACCATTTATTAAGTAATGAGTAGAAAGTAAGAGTTAGGGAGCAGGTTGTTTCATCGTTCCCTCTCCAAACGCTTGAACCGAGCACACTAGATCCATTTTAGGATCACAAATTTAGGAAACAGGATGCAATTTTCAAATTCTAGTGTCTTAATTAAGCGGCAAAAGGACGTCCTAAAATCATGTTTCGCATTAATTAGCACTGATCCGTATGACTTGCCTGCAATCTTGAAGCAACCGATGATTCCTGTGTGATTGAACTTCACGTCACTCAGCTTTACATTCTAGGATCTTACCGTTGGGTTATTCAGGTAGTGATGTTTCAGTGTATCAGGGCGGACGACCCAAGTCCGGATCTCCGGTACGCCTTGCTGACGAGGGAAAACTAGTAAGAAACCTAGCTCCAACCACCTAACATCTAAATATAATGGATGCGATGATGATTTACTCACACTAGTAGTCACATAGCAACCTGATCAGTAAAATTCGATTACGGCTGAATAAATGACTAGGTAGATATGACATTAGTCGCTAGTGAGTGATTAGTCAAGTATAGTGCATCACTGGTTGTACTACCATTTTCTGGTAAATCAGAATTTTCATATGTACATTTATAAGAACTTGAAACAAACAATGAACTACTATCCATATGATTTTAATTGGTTTGGGCACCCGGGCAGTATCACAGCCCTCACACAAATCAGTTGAGATTCGTGTGGCGCATATGTATTTGGTACCTCCTTGTACCCATACCTATGTGTTAAAATAAATAAAATAAAACTAGTGACTGACAACTAGAACAAAATCGACGTTGTGTAGATCTTTTGCCTACAATGAATCTTGTTAGGCCACTGGTTATGTAAATGGTATTCTAATTAAAACTATCGTACCTTGAAATAACATACTACGCCTGATTTGTTTAATATGCTATTAGCTACCACATAAAATACTGAAAGACCACATATTGTGCGAACTAGATCTTGGTGTTAAACAAGTACTTTTTCATGGAAGTGAAAATATTTTTAGATAACTCAATAAATACTATTTTATCATTTTGTTTCTAGTGTGAATCTAAATTAGAATATACATGTATGAGAAATGAATATGGATTTACTCTTCATATTGCATGTTTGACACAGTTTAATTCCCTGGTTTCAAAGAGTAAAACTAATATAAATGCTTTCCTCAATGACTTTGTTTAGTTAATATACTGATTAAATGTTTAGATTCTCACCAGTTAGGCTGTAAGTTATGAGGACGTCCAAATAATTCGAGCTTGCGTGTACCAGGAGATAATCGTTCAATAATACCGTAGATTTCATCAGGTTTATGACTAGTTTCACGAACTTCAGAGACAATTATATCACAATCGAGACCTCGATTTACACCCTTAAGAAAATACAAATATCGGTGTAAGAATATAAATAAAATTGTCCCCAAAAATAAACAGTTGGTCATACGTAACATACAACTTGGTATATATGTAAATTGGTTCACGTTGCCACATCACATTAACGCAGCGAAATGAAATTATCAACACAAACGGGAGAATAGTAGAAATAGTAACAGTAGTAATAGATAAAATCAAACATAGACATATGATTTAAAAAGAACCCATTTGTGTATAAAATGTATACGGTAAAATAGAAACTCAGTATCTAAGGGTAGACAAATAGTGGATGCATCTGCGGTCGATTCTAATACATGTTACTCATCTCTAACCGTCGATTGCGATGATTATGCGGACCTCAAATAGATGGTCTGCAGTCGACAGTCAATGCACTCATGGGTAAATATGTTCTGGTCCGCCCACCATTGATTCCTTCTAACTTACCACAACACCAAATATCACGTCGAAGTAGGAAAACACCCAACTGCGTCACAAGACAAGCCCTCATATGGAATCCTCAAGGTCGAAGGAGGAGAGGAAGACCAAAGAATACATTACGCCGGGAAATGGAGATAGATATGAGAAAAAGGAACAAGAATTGGATGGAACTAGAAAAGAAGGCCCAGGACTGAGTGGGTTGGAGAATGCTGGTCGGCGGCCTATGCTCCATTGGAGTAACAGGCTTAAGTAAGTAAGTAATGCACGCCACAACCATCTCAGTCAATTTGTGACTTTTACTTAGTGTCCTACGTCTGACCTAACCACTGCTAACTCGGTGGTCCCAACATATGGGAGCAATGCTTTAAACGGATCTGTGGTCAAATACTAATAGTCTACGAATACCCTCAATTCCTAAAGGTCATATTTCGCTGTCGCAATGTAGAACAGAGAGGTACTGCTGCACAGTTGGGAGACGGGGATCTCATATACACTACAAGTGATGTAAATTAGCAGAAACTAATCGAGCTTACTGAATCCATACCGAAAGTTCATCACATATTAACCCACCAGGATTGATGAGACTTTCAAGATAAATGAAGTAGTTGACCCACTGAACTACTTCATTTCCTACAGCTAGTATGAGTGTCGACGGCGACCAGTAGTACTCATTCTTAAAGAATAACTGATAAAATTTATTTTCAGCTTACTTTTGGGTTGCCTTTTACACCAACCAAACAATGTTCTTTGCCATGATTTAACCAATGTCCTGTACGTCCTGTCCGAATTAAACGTTGCAATTGGTTAGTTTTAACCCATATAATCTCATCTACGCGTTCGTAACCCCATAAACGTAAGCATTCTCGACCAAGTTCCATAGCTCTGTGTGATTCGAAGTAAAAAAAATAACTAGAAGGCAATCATCCAAATTACAGAGTTTTCAAGCAAGAGTTTAGAAAGGTGTCAGAGTTTTTATTAAGAAGCATGACAGTTTAAGACGCTACACATCGCAGTAGCATTATGTCTAAAACTCGAATAGACGAAAAGAAAGTTACGTAGATCCTACAATGTTCATGTGAAATCCAATCATAGGAAGTACACATCTCGATACGGTATAAACCAGCAATCAGTGATTCCATGAACTAGTCTTACGCTTTAATTTGATGGTTATGAACGTTATTTTAATCTACTATGTTCATTACCATTACATATCAAGATAAATAGAGTAATACGCATATGTAACGATTGGTTCACCTTTCAAATTAGGTAACATTCGAAGTAGATTCACACATCACTTAATTTTATGGAACTATCCAATCTGAAACACATAATGTTTTAAACACATAACCCGAGAAGTGGAACTTAAATATCTGAACGAACGATTTTCAGATCCCCTGGTATAGAACAAAACAACCACTAGTGTACATTAAAATCGAACTTATCAGTTGTAATTTAAATGAGAAAAAAAACATTTACTGACCTTCCCGTTACCCATAGGAATATATAACCATCATCTTGTAAACAAGGTATATCTAGTCGTCTCATCTCATCGTCTGACATTGTTCCATACGGCAGTTCCATGTGTATATCCCATGGTGGATCAGCCATAATTACAGCAAATTTTCCAAGGATTGACATATTTATCAGTCGTATATCACAGTTAATCCACTGGAAAAGTGATAGCAAATACTTGAAAATCAATAATCTTATTCACAGTATTGTGTATCAAGTGAGTTATTACTTTTTCAAAAGTATATGCATTCTGAAACGCTTTACCAGTAATTATAACCAATGCCTCTTCGGTAGTAGACAATTACGAAAGGAGGATAAACAATTATGTATTTACCTAAGAAATGCTCTTCTCTAACTGAAACAGACGGACACTAATAGGACAAGTTCGTTTAACATGCGTTACGCGATACTTCCTTTTTAATTTCACCATCGTATTAATACTTAGACTCTGAGAAACATATTATGATTAAGTTTTTTTTTTTACGAAATATGACGAACGAAATGAATCTCTGAAGGTGCGACATCAGTGGTCCTCAGTAATTCCATTGCTCCGAGGAAAACACATGCTTAGTAACTCATTTACCAAGTAAAAGTTTATGTAAATGGCTTTAACCTACACTGCTTAAGTATTGATACTGCAGTGAAGACAACCAGCTGTATTTGAATACAGAATCTCAGTAAAATCTGGGAACCCTACAGCGAATATTTCGTTTGCAAAATATCCATTAATTATCTTAGACTTTATTGTTCCTTCATTTTCACACCAATCACTCTCTGTTCTCGTTCTCTTCTCTTCGATCTTCTCAACCTTCTCCCACCAGGCATTCCACTTTTGATTGGTGATACAAACTACTTATATCTGTCGACATCAGTAACACATACCATAATACGATTCTATTCTTTAAACTGCGTTAGACGAGGCAGGGCTCGAACCCACAACTTACTAACACATGCAAAGCTAATTTAGCTACTAAGGAATCAGACAGCTTTCCGTAAAATATACCAAACTCCAAATACTTATTGAATTCAAGGAAGCTGTTGCAACCAAGTTGTGATTAATTTATTGGGATATTTCATAATGCGAGTTAAAAATTGATATGAACACTTTAATAGACTGAGCAAAATAACTTTGATATTGATCTTATGATTAATAGTTGTGGTTAGAAGTAATGCCCACTTGACATACTTTGAAAATAATGATTAGACGGTAAATATATATTGCCTGCCTAATGATTGCACAAAAGTCAGGATATTGTCCACTGTGTATTTCTTCTTGAAGAGCACATACCAACTGACCTTTAAGTAAAGGTTCTCAAGTGTCTGTAGAATCCGATACGACCACAGTTTTTAGATAACAATGGATGTACCCGTGGTATTCCGAGAATGAACTTGTAAAACCTGCAGTAACCGTTCGAGTTTCTGATAGATAATTCGATCGTCACGCCTGATTACCCTTTCTACTTACCACCAGACATAGTCCCTATAAATTCCTTTTGGTTATAGGCTGAAAACCAAACCGAAACATAGCATCAGTCCATGAAGTCACTGGCAATTGAGATTAGTCATGTTGATAGGTATAGATTACCTGGTTGGGGTTCTTGTGATTACCGTAATCGATTGTTACAGACTTTGAATGACATGATTCAAGATCGTTTGCAATGGCGTATGTGCATCCATTCTTTGTTTTCCCTCAAATTCTAAATTCCTCATAAATTTTTTATTTGACTGATTCATACTTTCTTTTTGAATCGTATCTTTAATATCAGTGACCTAACATTCTGAAATTTGGCCTGACAATTTCAGCTCTCTGTGCGAATAGGGTATGGCAACTTGAACCGAAGTACATACGTATAGGTTATACGTTGTGACTGACAGATTGAAAAATGTTGATATGGGTGCGGGACTGAGTTATTGTGGGAGCGATAAAAAATGAAATGGCGAAGCAGATAAAGCACATAACTTTGAAAGACCTTCAGGGATGTTTTCGTCAGTGAAAATATGGGTAAAATGAGTATGCTGTCACAAATTGGGAGGATTTTGAAGGAAATAAGACTTGTTGGACAGAGTAATAAATGCGTATACACATTGATAATTCTCTTTATAATTGAGTGTAGGTTAGGATACTGCACGGACTCCCAGACCGAATCAGGTGGCTTTTTTAGAAGACTAGCCCTGAAGCATTTAACCTAGAGGCCTGATCCGCAAAGCAGTGGAGCGAGGTTAACAGATAAAGTTTGGAATCAGGGTTTCTAATTATCCTAGGTAGATCCTCCGTATCCACCAACCCGGTCCAAGCTCTAGTGGTGGCGTGACTGAAGAGATCAATTTGTGTATAGTGAAAGTCAGAGTAGCTCATGCCAACGTGGGCCATCTTTAGTCCCTTCATAATGTAAATGTGGATGTAAAGGTCGGGCCAACAACGCGTAGGTGAGAGTAGTTTTGCTCTATGATTCTGAAACCTGGCCTCTCTGAATGGAGAGAACTCTTTGTGCTCGGTGATTATTGTTTTCGAAAGATTGCTAATATTCAATGTCAACGTCATGTTAGTAATCGAGAGGTACGTCAACATATGTTTGGGCACAATGACGATAATTCAATTGGTGTCAGTACCATGAAACACCGAGTTCGGTGGCTTGGATACATACTACGAATATCGTGCCAGTAAATTCAATATCGTACATTATTTGCTAACGTCTGGACTGGTTGGAAAAAGTGGATAGGTGGTTTATGACATAGAGCCGGAGTACGAAAGAAAGCTGTGCAGGACTTGAATCTGTTGGTTTTTCACTACTCCCTGACTGAGATCCTAAATATAGTTCAATACATTGGCTTGAGACATAACCAGGGATGGCTCAGTTGTAATTTTCTTTTAGTTTCTTTGCAAAAGTGAGAGTAACTTCTTGAACTGAAAGAATTCTTTCTGGCTGTATATTTTTCTCAACCGAACTGGTTCTACCATTACTTGCTACTCTCATTCACTAGTTTTTATTCGTTTATTATTATCTTTATTTATTATACTCACTTTCCTTCCTCTATCTCTTCACAACCACATTTTCTTGTTGTGTCTTTAAATAAATAAATGATATATATAACGTTACCTGAGGTGGATATAAAATTAGTGATGTTCCATTGTCTTTAACAGCACCACCGCCACTAACGCTGACACCGTCATTAATTGAATCTACTGAAGATGTGTTGATTTGTGACGACGATACTGATGATGATGACGAAGACATTATATTTGTTGTAGAACTATTATCATTTTGATGATTTTTTTTATTATTTAACACATTCCGATTAGCAACACCACCATCCAATTGTTGATTAACACTATCTGTATAATCGATTGTGTAATGAACATACTAAAATAACAAAGAAAATTGCCAAAATCAATGATAATAAGTAGGGTGACGTACGAGAGAATTAGGACAACTGATCATTTAAAAACGGAGTATGTTAGTTACAAGTTCCACCTTATTTCCCACTGTTTATTTATAATCTGGATTATTGAATTCATGTTACATTTCGCATATATATCCTTAGACTTATTCTGTTTTTTAACAGATATATTGGATACGAAATGTTTTAGAAAGTTATGTATATATTTTAGACGAATGTATCAAAAAGATCACGTGTACGAAGAACAGACAATAGTGAGAATTGAGAATCCTATGTAGTGTACGGAGTGTGATGAATGAATTGATGTGACGATCAATAGTTGTGCTCCGCGAATTGATATAGTGATCACTTGTATAATGTGTAGGTAAGTGTGTGGATTTAACTCATTAGTTGAATCCCTGTATAAATTACTGTCTGAGTTTATATAGTTGAATAGTGGTCATGTAGATGTACACAAGTGGTCATACGCACATAGAAATGGAAGGTAGATGAAAGTAATTATCAAAATGATACGACTAAAAACGGAATACATTTATTTATCAGACTTCTTTTTTAACTGTTAAGACAAAAATAAATTTGCATAGGGATGTACGCAATGTAAAAGCGTTATAATGTGCTGTTTATTTCCTTTAGACACACAAGTTAACGATTGAAGTAGCAGATTGATATGGTAAACCAATCAGAGATGACTTAAAAGACAAGTGCATATCATTGGCTAAGAAATGAGTTGATTCTCTATGGTATATCTATATCTATCTATCTATCTATCTATCTATCTATCTATCTATCTATCTATCTATCTATCTATCTATCTATCTATCTATCTATCTATCTATCTATCTATCTATCTATCTATCTATCTATCTATCTATCTATCTATCTATCTATCTATCTATCTATCTATCTATCTATCTATCTATCTATCTATCTATCTATCTATCTATCTATCTATCTATCTATCTATCTATCTATCTATCTATCTATCTATCTATCTATCTATCTATCTATCTATCTATCTATCTATCTATCTATCTATCTATCTATCTATCTATCTATCTATCTATCTATCTATCTATCTATCTATCTATCTATCTATCTATCTATCTATCTATCTATCTATCTATCTATCTATCTATCTATCTATCTATCTATCTATCTATCTATCTATCTATCTATCTATCTATCTATCTATCTATCTATCTATCTATCTATCTATCTATCTATCTATCTATCTATCTATCTATCTATCTATCTATCTATCTATCTATCTATCTATCTATCTATCTATCTATCTATCTATCTATCTATCTATCTATCTATCTATCTATCTATCTATCTATCTATCTATCTATCTATCTATCTATCTATCTATCTATCTATCTATCTATCTATCTATCTATCTATCTATCTATCTATCTATCTATCTATCTATCTATCTATCTATCTATCTATCTATCTATCTATCTATCTATCTATCTATCTATCTATCTATCTATCTATCTATCTATCTATCTATCTATCTATCTATCTATCTATCTATCTATCTATCTATCTATCTATCTATCTATCTATCTATCTATCTATCTATCTATCTATCTATCTATCTATCTATCTATCTATCTATCTATCTATCTATCTATCTATCTATCTATCTATCTATCTATCTATCTATCTATCTATCTATCTATCTATCTATCTATCTATCTATCTATCTATCTATCTATCTATCTATCTATCTATCTATCTATCTATCTATCTATCTATCTATCTATCTATCTATCTATCTATCTATCTATCTATCTATCTATCTATCTATCTATCTATCTATCTATCTATCTATCTATCTATCTATCTATCTATCTATCTATCTATCTATCTATCTATCTATCTATCTATCTATCTATCTATCTATCTATCTATCTATCTATCTATCTATCTATCTATCTATCTATCTATCTATCTATCTATCTATCTATCTATCTATCTATCTATCTATCTATCTATCTATCTATATATATATATATATATATATATTTGTGCATTTTATTCGGTAGTTCAATAAACTTTCTCATCCACGCTTATGTTTTCACTCAAGGAATCAGTTGGGGGGTTGGTGTGTATTATATTTCGGACACCATCCGTTTCAACACGGATTCTAAATGGAGAAAACTAATCATAAACATTCACATTCAATCAAATCTTCATAAATTGGATACCAATCAAATTTAACAGTAGTTGAACCGTTAACACTCAATGTTTCACTGGGCTTTTTTATTTACTCACTCCCGATTGTAATAGGTACTTCGACGTGATAATTTGGACTGCATATTGTAATAACCGAATCAAATCATAGACTGGCTGGAACACTCAGCACCTATAAGTTCCACTATGTCACTCAAGTCGGTTGAAGAGCAACAAGAATAAAATGGGGTAACGTGAGAGTTAAGAGCAAATTTTGATCAACTAATTTATTCAGTGTATATTACTGATTAGATAAAAAAAAAACTATAATGATGAATGCAGAAAAAGTATCTAGGTTTTAATCTAGTCATTATTTTCAATATGAATCATGGTGAGGGAGATTGGAAAACGCAACAAATATAATTTAGTTAAACTGTATTTTTGCCGACAACATGAGATCATGGATCATACAAATTGAAAAGATACCGGGGTTTAGAACTGTCTCTGTATTCCTGCAACTTCTGTCCCATACACAAATACATAGATACGCACACACACAGAGGAAACATCAAACTATGGGTATACACATAAGAAATTTATTCGACTTGTTCGTCTGTTAAGTTCTTCTGAAATTTTTAAGAAAATCATCACTTTGTGTTTTTGCTGTCACTTTGTTAATTAATCAAACTTACTTTTTTCTTCCACTTTCCATGGAGTTTTTTAAATCAGATTTTAATTATGATATGATTATAATTATGTCAATATAATTTATTTTGCATATGTATTTGTCATAATTTAGGATAGTTTAAGATGCCTCAGAATAACAAATGATTGATTACATTTTTCTCTTAGGAAACGGGGTCTACGTGCACTACATAGATCAAAACACTAATATACTCTACAACACTTTAACCTCAGTAGTTCATAAGTGAATGAGAGAGACGATAGGAGTTTCAGAAGAGCCTTAACACTTACAAACACAGTCAAAATTTTGTACATGCATTCCAGAATTGATGTTCACTTCATGACTCGAACCCAGTACCGTTTGGTTCAAACACCAACATGTCCCGGATCGGAAATCGACTCTGGGATGCAGGCAAATTCAGCTGACGAATACTAAATAGAACGAAACGCGCATCATGGATTCTAATGTCAGCCACTACTCATATATACTTATAACGCTTGTGAATTAATAGCGATATCAAGGTGATGCGCACAGGATGCACATATGCTTGAAGCGATTGATTAATTGTAGTCCTAAACATCAATGGGAACATTCCAACAACCAATATAAATGAATTAGATAATATGAAGTTTTCCTACGTTATTAGAAACAAAACAGTATGAAGATTCATGACACATTTTTCTTCGATTTTGTAGTAACAGTGTAGCGATTAGTAGTGCTCACGATTTTGACTGCTTCATACGTATACCTGGGCATAAATTGATGTGAACGATAAATACGGAGACAGTTGAAATAAGAAACTAACGGCAGACGATGCGGTTTTTACAATATTTATTCAAAGCTATTTGACTATATATCATTAGAAGTAACACAATTATCCTGTACACGTTTATGTACTCAGCTTTGAGTCATGCTAATTGTGCAAGGGCTAGGAATACTACTACTAATTAATTAGCCAAAAACGAAGATGAGACGGGTTCAAACCTATAACTTACTAAAAGCAGAAAACAAATAAATATCATGGTATACTACTTTATACTTACTTTACACGTGTCAACATGAAAACAAGTATTCAAGAATGAACAGTCTCCAAGAGATTCTGAAATTAGAAAAAATAAGACTTTAATTGAACTTTCAGACTGTATTACACAAAATTTAAGGTGAAATCATGAACTGACGATTATCGAGGGTATGTCTGAAACCAACTCCGCCTGTAGTTCTTCTAGAGTTACTGCCGATCCCAAGCCCGAGTAAAGGAGGAGGGTTGGGCATGGAGTTAGAGACCCCATCCCGTAGAAAACTAACTCGCTAAAAAAACGCTAACCAGAAAATGTCCGAAACCACTAACATCCTAGTTGGAAGAAGGGGTAACTGCACTATAGTCGTATATAATGATTAGATACGTTGGGCGACTTAATGAAAAAGTGATCGCAGTGACACAGTTGTGTCCGTTCGATAGTTAGCCTTCTGAGTTATGGAGCATTCCTATTTTTTTTATTTTTGTTCTATTCGAACTGCATAGTAGGTGATGTAACGGACGGTTTAAAATACTCTTTTCACTCTTAGGTATACTACATTAATACGATAACAAGACTAGTCATGTTATTAAAAGCAGTTTGAGAAATTGGAATGAAAGGGTATAAATGAATGAATACTAGGACTGAAGACATAAAGGAAAATAAAGAGTGAACATATTTACGTCACTGTGACCAATTTTTAGTAATGTCATACAACGTCTCCAATCATTAATCATGATAATTACAAGAATCCAAACTAGGACGTTGACATTAGACAGTGACTTCATGAAATGATTATACGTTTTAGTTTCGCCGACCTTATACATAAATATAACATATGTACTTACCATCCGTATGTGGGTGTATAATTTTACGGAAATGAAGTTTAGTACACCGTTTCTTATCACCAGTTCGTGCTTTAACTTTTGAGCATTCAGTACGGGTACCATAAGAACAAAACTGTTGTACTTGACTGCCTAAAATCAATATATATATGTCTGGGTAAATGATGATTTGGAAAAAACAATATCAATAAATAAATCAAACATAATATGTAGTCAATATGATGAACAAGCTACCCACCGAATTCCCAATACTAGAACATGATGATTATTCAGTGGTTTGTATTTACCAGTCACTTTTTAAAATTATATGATCACTGAAAATTATTTCCTGAAAGTGATTCAATTTAATTCCTGTTCTAAATCTTTCAATCTTTCTTGGTACTCTTCAGCAGTGGACATTCGAATCTACGATCTTTAAATCTCTATCTATGACAATTAAGGTATGCTCACTAGTGACTAAGTTAGGGAAGTTTAAGGGGGAAATTCGTGACCAATAGGATCACACCATGTCAGGAATAAGACAGATGATATCAGATCACAACAAGTGGAATTTTAAGGAAGGAAAAGGGTTATAGTAGACAACTATTCAAATAATTAGTTTTCTAAAAATTCCATATAGTACTCGGTAGCGGTTTGAGAATTCTAAGCAATAAATATTTTGACAGGTCTGTTGCTAATTCGAACGCTTGATACTCACTTCATGGCAGGTTTCTAGTTTGTGAGAATTCTCCCACACTGGAGCTCCGAACGGTAAGAAAAAGGAGCAAAGTAACAAAAAGTCCAGGGCTCATTGATGTACAGAAAACAACGGCACTTATAGATTTATCAGTAACCTTTGACCTCCGGAAGCATGGTAATTTACGTACCAGAGTAAGAAGTCAATCAAAGTGTGACAATCTGTCCATCTACTAAGCATTTTCGTGACGTATGCTGATTGGACGAAATGTCCGCATATATATCCTGACTTCTGAAGACCTTAACGAGGAATTCTCGGCAGATTCCAAATATCTCTGTAGTTACATCTGTGAGTTTTATAAACTGTAAAGAGATTCACTGAGAAGCACCCATTCTATATAATGATATAGAAAATAGTAAAAGCAATAGAGTTTAGTAAAAAAGATTTTGTGGAGATTGATTTGATTCGTAAAATGTACTGGTCACAGATTGACCTCAGTTGAGGTATTAATGAAAACCAAGAAGCACTGAACGGTTGGCCCGACAGTTCTACTGATTAAGCGTTGGCAACGAGACCTGAAAGTCATGAATTCGGTTCCTGTTGGGGTCACATGTGCGCAGTGCTAAGTAGCCTCATACTGTGGCGAAACAACTGGCCAATTCTCCTTGACTCTCACCAGTGCATCAACTGAGATCAATCTGTAACGAATAAAGCACATGGAACCAATAAGTGAATAGCTACAGATCAGAATTAGATAGTTTTTCTTTGAGTATCTTACCTACGCAATGAAGTGATATAGGTTGGACAGGCGAAAAGTGAAAATGAACTGAGCATTTCTATCGTAATAAATTGCTCTTATTACAGAACAGTTCACACCAACCGACTATTCACAAGATCTAGTCAAGAACCATTCAACCTCTGCAGCAAGTACATTATAATTAGTCCAATAAATCAACATTAAAAAATATTGTCTCATTTCAACAATATCGATATCATTTTTTAGTCAAATATGCTAACTAATTAACATGTTTTTATTATGTATTTGGTGAATTAAATAGATGCATTCAATTTAAATAAACATAAACACATACCTCCTTGAGTTCGGAAACGTTCCGTTAGGAATCTTTCCTGTAAAGAATATTTGAAGATATAAAAAAGATATACTTTACATAAATATCATTCCAGAAAGCTGTTATACATGGGAAGTATACATATTGTAGCGTTAAAAGGGGCAATGGTAAGAGTTACAACTACAAAACGGATATGTCTTGTGAGGATGAGAAATGGTTGATTAAGAAGAGCAGACAGAAAGATTTGTGTATTTTAATCTATATTTGTTCAACGCTGAATGAGAGCGTATCAGATGATGTTTTCAGTCTATCGACTGGGAGACCAGTTTAGTGTTTGATTCTGAATCTTTAATTATCTATTATTTGGTATAGCGTGACCAAATATCCAGTGTAGGATCGTGGACGAAAAACCTTGTAATCTTCCGTCCTAACAAAACAGTGTAAAATTGACGAATATATGTACTTAATAAACAAAACAAAGCATCAATCTATCCACCCAACTATAGTTTCAAGATAGAAAAACGAATATAGAATTTTGTGAAGATAAGTTCATTTTTAAAGGGACATCTATAAGACATCAGTTAACGAAGTTGTATTTTTTTCACATACATCAAACAATTTTGAATCGCTTTACTGCATTAGTTTGAGTGGTTTTAGGTTTGGCCCATGTCAGAAGTAAAGGTACATTAAGTTCGTTGATATACTGTAATCTAATGTGCTATATCCCTGAAGTTATTATTATTGTTATTAAGACCAACTCACTTTTCCAAGTACAGATCTGTATAATTGACTTTCGGCTACACTCTAAAGGTGAGAGGGTGATACTACATGGCTGGTTAAACTGAAGTAGATGTGTGGAATTTGAACCTGAAACTCAGTGGCTGAAAGTCGAATATCTTAAACACTGGACCATATTTAGGTTTATAATTCCGATGTTCTTGAGAACAATACTCCATCAGTTGAAGCACTAGACCCCCAACTATTGGTTCATAAGTTCAAAGCAGTCGTTAGCACAAACAACATTCAACCATGTGTTTAAACCAGCTGTCTATATTTTACCACGAATAGCTCAATTGAGATACTTTTGATTCTTATACACAGTGACAGACGCTCAATTCTTTTCAGAGACCAGTAGTTAGAGACATTGGGTGATATAGCTCAGAATAGTTCGCAATGGCACAGACGCATTCACTATTCATCTTCTCGATGCTAAATTCCAATTTCCTTTCGCGAATACTTTTCCATTCTATCTTCTCTATATTCCGACGGTTAGATGTTTTCTTCCATAATTCTTACATTATTTTGATATCTTTTGTTACTTTTACGATGTGGTGCTAATTAGGTATGGGAATCTAGGCCAATGAACATCTGTTTCAGGCTCTATATTGATGATGTCTCTGTTTGTTTATCCATCGCAGAGTAATTATTCAATGACAGATTTCGTGAATATATTTAAGTCAATATCTTCCATTAGTTCATCTACAATAACTCTTTTCTAACCGATCAAGCATAGAGTACTCGAATTGGAATACATTTGTCTCGTTTTTTCAGAGGATAGATAAACACGAAAGTATGGCAAAAATAATGGTCTTTCTATTTGAAATGTTCATTATTTAACTCCAAGATAATTTGTAATTCTTCTTATAATGGCCCTTGAATGCATACAATCAGTAATCATAACTATCTAGTTTAAACAACATTAAAACAAGTAGATTAATTACAATGTTTACCCCATCAAAAGATAAAAAACAAATGGTTGGAATGTTGAAGCAAAGCTTCTGTCTTGTAGATGAACTGAATCGCAGTAGATAACAATCCTACACAGATAAGCAATATACATTCATAAAGAGACTAAAAGTTTCTATAAATTTGTCAACTAATCTCTTATTCAGTCAGCTACAACGTAGGACCAGATACATATATGCATCGGTCCAAGTTGCCATACCTCATTAGCACAATAAAATGAACGCTAAATTCATAGAAGCCATTACTTCGATGGTAATAAAAGCAGATTTCATATAAGGATATGATACAGGGAAAAACACTTAGTTCGTAGAGTAAAAGGTATACAGCAATTTTAATCTCACGGTTTAAGGGAAGATAAAGAGTGCATATACCTACGCCACTGTGATCGATACTGAGCCATGTCACCCAGAGTCAAGCACTGGTTACGATGGACTATTTCGGAAAAAAACGGCACTCTTATCTGCTCCCAGTCCAGACGTTTAGAACGATGGGCGGGACATTTTAGAGAACAGTTCAGCTGGCCTTCAGCTACTCTACAACTACCCTCCATTCCCAGACAGTGTGAATAGGACATTGAAGTAGGTCCACCAACTCTAGCTGAAGTTCAAAAGGCTATAGTTAATCTAAAACGAGGAAAGGCAGCTGGTCCAGATGGATTGGCTCCAGAGGTCTTTAAGGATGGTGGTCCAATTTTAGCGGCTAGGTTGACTAATATTTTAGTTGAAATCTGGGAGTTGGACATAATGCCCTCTGACTGGTCACAATCACTTATCGTCCCAATATATAAGAAATGGTCAAAATCATCCTGTGACAACCATAGAGGGATTAGTTTAACTAATATAGTATCTAAAATACTAGCCTCGATAATTATCGGACGCCTAACTAAGACTCGTGAACTGCAAACACGAGAGAATCAAGCTGGCTTCAGGCCTGGTCGTGGATGCATAGACCACATATTCACCATTCGTCAGGTTCTAGAACACAGGCATACTTATCGGCGTCCGACAATGGTGGTATTCCTTGACTTAAAAACAGTGTTTGACTCTGTTGACCGAGAGGTTCTGTGGCAGTGTCTGTCATTGAAAGGCGTAACTCAGAAGTACATAAACCTTGTGAAGGCTCTTTACTCGAACACTACTAGTCGGGTCAGAGCCTATGGCGAACTGTCATCTGCTTTTGCAACCTCAAGTGGCGTCCGTCAAGGCTGTCCACTTTCTCCTTTTTTGTTTAACTTTATCATAGACATCCTGATGGAAATAACGCTCTCATCGATTGAATTCTCAGGCAATGATCTCCCACCAGGAGGTCCACTTATCGACTTAGAATACGCAGATGACATAGACCTGTTTGGTGAAGACGCTGATAAAATGCAGAGTCTTTTGGTAGCACTGAGCAACAATGCTAGTTATGATTGTTAAAAGCTATATATTTCTTTGATGATTTTGATTTTGATTATTACCCTGAAGAAGTCCAGACAAGTTAGCTGGACGAAACGTTGGAATTACTTAAATTTCAATCGCTGAGATTATCTCAAATATAATTTACATATATAATGACTTCTCTATACTCAGCGCCCCCAAATGCCCTGGTATGGCCGTGAGCGGGGAGGGTTCGCCCTCTCTCTCGAAATACTCTCACACGGCCACGCGTATACAGCCTCTGCCAGGGAAGTCCTACTCACTGCCTTCTCGTGGCGGGGGTGTTGTTTACGAAAATGAGAGGACGAAAAGCGAACGTCCGGCGCTTTAACCGGATCCCAATTCTATGGTGCACATGGGCTCCAGTATCCTGCAGGAACAAATGGCGTATGAACCAACTTTTGGTCACCGGCTTCCATGGGACTGCATCTCCTCACGATGCTCCACTGCCTTGTGGACTAGACCTTTAGGTCAAAGGCTCGGGGTGTGGCCCCCTAAGAAAACCACCTGCTTCGGTCTGGGCACCCGGGCAGTATCCCAGCCCACACACTAAAACTATGATGAACTATATGCTTATAGAAAGTATTCGTTTCTCTCCAACTAACATTGAAATGACTGGTATTATTATTATTATTATTTACTACGTCATTTATTCACTATCTCCTATTTCTACTTTTTGTATCCGCTTCGACTCAGACAGCAGCTCGCCTATGGTGAAAATTCAGCTTTATCTAAACGTTCTCGAGTCACTGCCTGGTTGAAAATTGTATGTTACTACCGAATATGAGTACGGAAGCAGTTTTTCTGAAACCACGTGCACCATTCAAACTGGCTGCCTTCAACGTTCGCACACTTATGCAGGTCGGACAACAGATAGGGCTGGCTATGTCTTTGGAAAGTCTTAATATTGATGTGTGTTGTCTATCCGAGACCCGTATTCAAGACTCTGGTGAAATACTACAAGTTCGCTCTCCATCTGTCGCTTCAAAAAGCTTGTTTTATGTGCGTTTATCCGGGGACCCTGTGGCATCTTCGTCCGGTCACGCTGGCGTTGGTGTCGCACTAAGCGCAAGAGCTGAGGCAGCACTAGTCGACTGGATCCCCATTAACAGTCGGTTATGTGCTGTTAGATTAGAAAGTTCCATCAAAGTGAGAAGAAATCGGCGTGAGAAACGATGTCTTTTCGTCATCTCCGCCTATGCCCCGACAGATTGCAGCCCGGATGCAATCAAGGACGAGTTCTACCATCAGCTAACTGTTCTTCTCCAGAAAGTGCGTTCGACAGATATTGTAGTACTAGCTGGAGACTTGAATGCTCAGGTCGGGCGTCTAGGCACAGAAGAGAGTCGTTTAGGTGGCCGATGGGGACTCGTTGGTCGCAGGACAGATAACGGGGAACGTCTACTGCAACTATGCACAGACCACAACCTGTTTCTGGCTAGCACTAACTTTTGGCACAGTCATCGCCGATGTGCCACCTGGCGTCCTCCTTCTGCATCTCTAGCCTGGACTCAGATTGATCACATCGCGATCAGCTACCGCTGGCGTGGTTGTGTACAAGACTGCCGCTCCTTTTGGAGTACCTATCTGGAATCTGATCATGCTCTGGTCTGCGCCAATCTTACCTTACTTTTCAGTGGACAACGAAGTGACCGCCACCAAAGGATTGATGTTAGCAAGCTGGCTGCAACTTCTGTTGCTAGTAAGTACCTAACCGAGCTAGCTTCTAGGCTAGCTACCATTCCACCGAAAAGTATCGATGAGCATTGGTCGCAATTGCATGACGCCATGAAAATGGCGGGTACAGTCTGTTGTGGGTTTGCGAAACGTCCCGCTTACAAGCACTGGGTTTCTTCTGGTTCCTTACAACTGATTGAAGCCCGTCGGTCTACTCCGGGTGACCGTGAGTTTGACCACAGACGAAGGATGTTACGCAATGAAATCGGGCAAAGCTTGCGTAAGGACCGAGAAGCCTGGTGGTCGGAGCGTGCCAGTGAGTTGGAAGCAGCAGCTGCATCTGGTAATTACCGAAAGCTCTTCCAACTCATCCGAGCCACTGGCAGCAAGAAGTTTGGTGTGAGCGAAACAATCTGCGAGGATGACGGAACGCCAATCACTAACATCCATCGACGTCTTGGACGATGGGCAGAATTCTTTGAAGGGCAGTTCAACTGGCCTGCTGCTCCGGCAACATCGGTCAGACTGTCCTGCCCTCCATGGCCGGTGACGACTGATCCACCAAATGAGGCGGAAGTCCGCAAGGAACTCCAACTCTTGAAACGTTACAAATCGCCGGGCCCAGACGACTTACCTCCGGCTCTTTTTAAAGATGGTGGTGACTTTTTGACTAAGGGACTGACGACGTTGTTTACAAAGATCTGGGAACTAGAGAGTGTACCAACGTCATGGAATGAGTCGATAGTTGTTCCTATCTTTAAAAAGGGTTCACGTTGTTCCTGTAACAACTATCGGGGGATAAGTCTACTTCCGATTGCGTCCAAGCTATTGGCTTCCGTCATACTTCGTAGGTTGTTCAGAACCCGAGAAAGATTGACTCGCGAGGAGCAGGCTGGGTTTCGTTCTGGTCGAGAATGTATTGATCATATCTTCACCCTCCGCCAAGTGTTAGAACACCGCCATACTTATCACAGGCCAACAATCGTAGTGTTTCTTGATATCAGGGCTGCCTTCGATTCGTTGGACAGAACTGTTCTCTGGGATTGTCTATTGAAGAAGGGTGTGCCTGAGAAGTTTATTAACATCGTAAAAGCCCTATACACAAACACCTCAGGCAGAGTGAGGGCATACAATCACCTTTCTCCACTATTCCATTCGAGCAGTGGGGTTAGGCAGGGTTGCCCAATCTCACCATTCCTCTTCAACTTTGCCATCGATGACATTCTGGAAACAGCTTTGACGGATGTAGGTAATGGTGGTGTGGATCTGTTGCCTGGAGAAAGACTTCTCGACCTTGAGTATGCGGATGATATTGTCTTACTGTGCGAGAATGCCCAAGCCATGCAATCCGCACTTAATCAGTTGGCAATTAGTGTCCGTAGGTATGGTATGTGCTTTGCACCTTCGAAGTGCAAAGTTCTTCTACAAGACTGGCAGGATTCTAATCCTGTACTCACTGTGGATGGTGAGCAGATAGAAGTAGTCGAGAAGTTCGTGTATCTAGGTAGCTGCATAAGTGCTGGTGGTGGTGTGAGTGATGAGATCAATGCACGTATAGTGAAAGCCAGAGCGGCTTATGCCAATCTGGGCCATCTTTGGCGCCTTCGTGATGTTAGTCTGGCTGTAAAAGGTCGGATCTACAACGCGACGGTGAGAGCCGTTTTGCTCTATGCTTGTGAAACCTGGCCTCTCCGAGTTGAGGATGTTAGACGACTCTCTGTGTTCGATCATCGTTGTCTCCGAAGGATTGCTGGCATCCAGTGGCAACACCATGTCAGTAATGCAGAGGTTCGGCATCGAGTGTTCGGTCACAGAGACGATAATGAAATCGGTGTCACCATCTTGAAACACCGACTTCGGTGGCTTGGACATGTTCTACGAATGTCGTCTCAGAGAATTCCTCGTCGTGCATTATTTGCCGACTCTGGGACTGGTTGGAAAAAGCGGAGAGGTGGTCAGTATATGACATGGTGTCGTGGTATGAAAGAAAGCTGCAAAGGGCTAGCTTCTGTTGGTCCTTCACGACTCCCTGGTTGGGGTCCTAGAGATGGGGTAACGCAGTGTCTAGAGACGTTATCAGATATGGCTCAGAATAGAAGCCAGTGGCGATCCTGCTGTAACCTTCTTTTACTTTCTTCATAAAAAGTGTTTGTATCTTCCTTTTTTTTTATAATTCCCCACGTTCATTACTTTTTTTTTCTCTTTTCTCCTTCTCTTCAAATTATCATTGTTTTGTGTGGCGCATATATATTTGGTGCCCCCTGTACCAATATTTATGTGTTTAAATAAATAAATAAATAAATAATATCTGTCAAACCATTCGTTCTAATCTTGACGAATATTCGTATAAATGCCAGAATGTTTGGGATGCGCTTCTCTCCCTCTAAATGCAAGTTGTTGCTTCAGGACTGGACTGCGTCAACACCTGAACTAAGGATACGGAGTGAAGTAGTCGAACGCGTCGACAACTTCACTTATCTTGGAAGTCTGATCAGCCCTGATGGGTTGGTGTCTGACGAAATTTCAGCACGGATTTGAAGAGCTCGTTTGGCTTTTGCCAACTTACTTCATCTATGGCGCAGGCGAGATATCCGTCTATCAATTAAGGGGCGAGTATACTGCGCGGCAGTTCGTTCCGTTCTACTATACGGCTGCGAAACATGGCCTTTAAGAGTAGAAGATATTCGTAAGTTACTAGTATTTGACCACAGGTGCCTTAGAAATATTGCGGGTATCTGCTGGGATCACCGGGTAAATAATAGTGAGGTTAGACGCAGGATATTAGTGAATGATACTAAATCAGTTGATGAGGTTATGAATCTTCATCGACTGAGATGGTTGGGCCACGTGTTGCGTATGACTGAACACCGATTATTACAACGCGCAATGCTCACTGGTGTTAAGGATAATTAGAAGAAAGTTAGGGGCGGCCAAACCAAAACGTGGCATCAGTGCTTGAAGACACTAACTTTGGTTTGAGCCATGTTAGCAGATGCAGACTACTTGGTTGGGGTCCGCGTGACTATCGTTACCAATGGTTGGAGACTCTTAGTGACATGGCCCAGAATCGACCACAATGGCGTCGGTGCATTCACTCTCTGTCTTCTCTTAAACTAACAGATTAAAATCACCTCATATCTTTCTTTCTACGAACTAATTCTATCTTCCTGTACTATCTCTTTATATGCAATCTTTCTTTTATATATTACCACCACTGAATTAACTACTTCTATGAATCCGGTGTTTATCTTGTTGTGCTAATGCGGTATGGCAACTTGGACCGATGTATACATATGCCTGGTCCTATGTCGCAGCTGACTGACTGACCTACGATGGACACGCGGACCCCCACCCAGTAATCTGGATCTGCCAACATGGCTCAGAAAAGATGCTAGTGACTTTATGGATTGATGCCAAGTTTGAATTGCGAAATAATTAATTCAATATAAAATTACTTTGGTCGATTGTCTATTCAATAGTTCCATAACTTCTTCACGTATTCGTTTACTTTCTTTTTCACGTATCGTTTCAGCACCCAACAGATTTTCTAAATCAAATTCTATTTCATGATTACATTTATCGTTAGGTAGACGTTTATTTCTATCGGATATTGACTCATTGTTTTCACACAGTTTTTTGATTTTAGAAAAATTTGGTTTCCGTTCACAGTCTATAGGCATTGTTTCTGATTTATGAATTACGTGTTGATGTGACGTTTTCAATTGTTGAATACTGCTATGAAAGAAATTAAGTTTTACAATACAATATGACAATTTTACATGTGATTTAGTTAATAACATAACACAGTGAGGTGTTATATATAGATATATACGTGTACGAACAGTAATTGTTATCCTGAGTTTAACTATATAACATAATGGGTATTTATTAATTGCACATGAAAGAAAAAACTGCCGCTTTACTTAACTATGATTAAAGGCAAACTGCGAAAGATTTGGTCAACTGTCATACAATCATTACAAGACCTAGAGGTTGTAGTTTCGATGACGGGGTCAATGAAGTACACTCCTATGAGACTTTTCGTTCTGAACGACATCGCTAAGCGCCCTAAACCGTTTTCATAGAGTTAAAACGGTTCTTATCACAGACTTCTAAGCTATAATGAAGCAGCTATTTAAGGCTACCAGATTTACAATGGTCCTCCAACTGACGTCAGTTCGTGACCAAAAATTTGTTTGTTAACAAATAGCATGGAATTAAGAAGGTACGCTAGATGAATATTCCAATGACCAGTTAAATAATTCATAGAAAGACAAATATCAATACAGCGAAATGAATGACTTAAATTATCATACTGTGAAAATCACCCATTTGCAGTATATGCAAGTTGTCATTAAAATGGCAGAAAAAAATGGTTCAAACTTTAAGGTCACTCGTGGATAATTCGTATTAGAAAATCACAGTATTCAAGCCAACAAAGAGGTTTTACTTATTTAGTACAGAATAACTTGAGTTAGTAAATTTTTTCTGCAGAACTACAGTGATTTGATCTACCGAGTTCATATAACTCACTAATTTATCATAATTCTACATATTATCTTTGTTTATGCTTCAGTGACTAGTAGTGAATTATGTCTATATGTACGGTTAGTAAAACGTATAATATAAATCTAATCAGTAGGCATGGTCTTGAATTTCCAAATATTCTACTCTAAAGTCCAATATTTATCGAGTTCAAGTAGAGCATGAGATTTCGTGAAACACAAACAAATTTATATACTAGTCTATCAGTCTTTTAAAGATGTTACTAAAATTATGTATTTCAGATTTAATGATTGCTCAGCGAGGGTGGGGACAGTCAGCTCTCCCTCTCGAAATGTTTTCACATGAACACACGTATAAAACCACTGCCACGGGAGTCCTACTCACCACCTTCTTGTGTCACCGGTATTGTTTATAAAATTGAGTGGACGAAATGCGAATGTCCTACGCCTTAACCTAGTTGGTGAACACGAGAGAAGTTGGAAAACCCTTATTCCAAACCAATGGTGCACATGGGTTCCAGGATCCAGAAGGGAACGAATGGCGTGTGAATCAATTGTTGGTCACCGGCTGCCATGGGACTACATCTGACGTGTGGATCAGACCTTTAGGTCGAGGGCTCCGGGTGAGACTTCCTAAGAAAATCACATGCTTCGGTTTGTGCACCTGGGCAATATCATAGCCCACACACAAATCAAGTGACTTGTGTGGCATATATGTCATCGGTGCCCTTTGTACAAATATCTGCGTTCAAATAAATAAATAAAATAAGATTTATTGATTCTTATTTTCGCGCAACGAAATTTCATTACAGATCCATTGACCATATTTCAAGTAATGACTTTAAATTCTCTTTCATTGGTCACTTTGGCTTTTACCGTTATTTTTCCAGATATTACAGAATCAATAAGAAAGCTATGCATACGAATAAGTCATATTAACTTAACTTCTATAGAAACAGTAAAAGGTTTTTACGAAAATTCAATCTTTATTTTATTATGGTAATTGTGGAACAAGTACGATTCAGGTTGTTGTTATCGTATATCGTCAGCTTACATTGAGTTTGCGCAATGCATAGAGCTAACATCTTATTTCTACCGAGCATTGTAGTACCGAAAATCCAATGTGGAATCCGATGACGATGTTCAGCTACCTTAATTAGAGTGGGCGATACGAAATTCAAATGCACGATATATTAGATCGACTATGGAACAACTATACATTATTTCCAGTTTCTGATACTGTCTTTAAATAAAATACGTTCTCGAAGAAAAACTTTACCGGTTAAATATGGAAGTTGTATTACTTACCTTGACTGTTTAGGGATTGATTTTTCGACATCAGCTGATCCGATTAACCGAATAATTATTTAAGATCAACACAGAGGGTATAGTTGGTTGAAAAAAGAGAAAAAATGAGTAAAACTTATTGAAAATGAAGTCTAGATTATTTAATCACAGGATGTTGATAAAATAAAGCTTGGTATGTAAAATAATGGGAATTATGAATCATAAAAATGTATCAGAATCATGTAATCAATGATACCAGATGACCCGATTTTTTTCAGTAAGAACAGTTGAGCAAACACTTAATAAGCCCAGATTATTGTGAACAAAATAAATGTTTCATATTTAGATTATACTAAGCTAGTTGGTCAGGTTATTCCCTGCAAGTGATATTTAACTAGTCATAGTGAAAACAGTGTCGATCGACCGCTTACACTAGTACTATTTTAGGTATCATTAAGACGATGTAAAAATTTGGGCATAAAGTTCGGATGTTACGAACGATCTGAGGCGTGGAGACAGTGTATACTTCTCAAAGTTAGGAATGGTCAAATACAAGTTAACAGCTTAAACTAAGTGGTAGTCACAAATGTCACATTTGTCTAGTGATGATAAGATTCTATCGATCTAATTGTAACGAGGCCGCTAGTCTGAATGGCTTGACATTGCATGCACCTAAGGGAAGATAAAATGCGAATGCATCTATGACGTTGCAACCGATTATAAGCCATATCACCCAACAACGCTAATCGCCACTCATGATAGTTGTGTGAAATCCAGCCAGGTAGTTTGTACCTACCAACATTCAATACTTTTATAAATTCGAGTAAAAACTTCACTTGGATGCTCTTAGCTTTCTCCTAACTTGCACTAGCCAACAATGCATTCTATTTATTTTGTCTCTCAATTTCTTGTTAAGTAGAACAATTGTAAGTTTAAATTTGTTACCCTGTAAACATGGTATTAATCTCCCCTTCAAAATAATTAATAAAGATATTTCAAATTACAAGTGATCAGACAACATCCATGACATAAATAAACTTGTATTTATTATTTTATCACTAATGCTGTTTCTACTCTACATACAGTAACAGAGTTAGGCATCTTATTTGCAATGGGAAAACTCATAATAAGTAAACTGAATCACTTACATGATTTATCAAGTAAATTACAACTGTGGACTGATTGTTTCGAATCGACAGTAGATACATTTTGTGATTTGTGACATGAACATTTCCCAATATGATCACAGTTACTAGATGACGGATTCAATAATCCTGATAAAGAAGTTATATTCGATTGAGAATGGACTGAAAGTGTATCAGACGACACACTCGTTATATTATTATCAGTGAGTTTTCGTTTCAATGCATTCTCGATAACCGAGACAGTTGACTGGCTAACATTAAAAGGTTTGTTAATTGAACCAATTCCAGTACTGTTATTATTTGTAAGCAAGGCAGCGGAAGACGAATTTTTAGTAGAATGAGTAACAGAAGCTAAAAGTTGACGTCTTGCAGCTAAACGTTCACGTAAAGAATTCTGTTTAGCTTTAGCTGCTTCAACAGAATCTAAAGCAGAATTTTCAATTGGAACTGAAGCAGGAGTGGGATTGTGTGACATTTTCGACATTCCTACATAAAGGTTGAGAATAAAATGTTCAAAATGTGTTTGTAAACATATATATAGATTGTTTTTCTTAAACTTAACGTTGTTTATCTCATGAATAGGAATAAATTAAAATTGAAAACTTTCACCACAATAAATTAATGAAGTTTTAATTGTATGTATCTGATTGTAACAAAAAACCAACAATGACTCCAGGAAATCTTTAATTTCGTTCAGAAAGGTTTTGTATAACGTTTAAAACAGCTTTGATATGGTAATTTACATACGTTAATATGGAGTTAATATGGAATATTATATTAGGTGTATTTATACGACTGAACAACAATGATTTTCAGGAATGTAGAGATGTTAGAATAACTTGCATTTCATGCAGATAGACATGATTGTTAAATGATGATCACGAAATGTGCCCTTAGTTGCAAACACCTACCAATTGATTAATTCTACGATTCAGGATGTTACTGATAAGACTGACTATTTAAAAATGTATATCGTTTAGTAGTGATGGTAATTTAGGAACATGAATTATGTAAAATGTTTTGTCACAAGTCACAGGAATTTCGAAACCACTAGTAATATCCAGTTACTGCTCTCGTCAATGTATTAAAACAGCTATATCTCACAACATTAAACAAACCTCAACAATGTAGTATTTATCTGTGCGTTATCACAATGAACACTTTATGCAAGAATTAGAAAGGACGGCGATATACTGGTAATCACGCTTACTTTCGTAGACCAATCTGTTGCATAGTCTAGATTGACTATAGGAAATGAAGCTTCCGAATGCATTTATTACTTAATTTATCATTAACCCTTCTGAATTGGTATCTGACAAAATCTCAGCACAGATTTATAAAGGGCGTTTAACTTTCGTAAACTTGTATCTTTTGTATATTGTGACCACCGACTGAACAATGTCAAGGTAGGACGTAGGGAAATAGGAGAAAGCTGCAAATCAGTCAGTGAGGTGAATATTCATCGATTGAAGTAGTTCAGATATGTTGAGTATGCTCAACTAATATCTACCTCGGTATGCAATCATGAGGAGCGGTTTGACAGTAAACTAGAGAGATAAACGAAAAAGTGGAACTATTGAGTTTTAGATATGTTATTGGGGTTTGTAGAATGAGCGTCTCCGACCAATGATCGAGGGGAATGCGATCAAATAGTCTAAATATAGCAACATAGTTGAGACTAACGATCAGTTGCTTTGTATTCTGATGACACGTTTTCTGATTATCTATGGGACTCTAGTGGCCTCCTACTACTACATCATATCTCAGAAACTGCAATACTGATCAGTAGATTGTAGAAAGCACTTTCTAATAAGGAACACTACACTTAATTGTCATTATCCTGCATTTCAACTCTCAGTACTTTTGAGAGTTTATTAGATAAAGACCAAAATTTAGAGAACGTTCCAAATGGTACTATTTGGCAAAATATGTTCTATGACACATACTATCTCGTTAACAGCAAAGACTAAATCAGTTGCATTACAGCTAAGGAACTATTTAACATAGCGATCACTATTTTGCGGCACCTGAACTTAATTACGGAGTTAATTGGTGATTGAAAAGCTTGGCAAATTTCCTCGAAAATCATTGAAAAGGCCCCAACAGATCTCAGTCGTCCAGATATTTTTACGTATAACTACATAACATAATTAAGGGTTCATTTGCATACAGTGAATACACATTCCAAATAATCCAGGTATGGATATAGATTAATTAGATGAATGGAGACTAGCCCGGACAATATTAATGACACTTGAAAGGACGTAAGACAAGAATCGTGATATCAACATAACATAATATGTGTTTACATTGATATTCGAATATTTATATGAATATATATAATCATACTTTGTTATTTACGGACCAAGTATTACCGGTACTACAGACGAATACCCGTCCTTGACAAGAAGGATAACCTTCAGTTTTGCAATGTTGCTTCTCTGAATACTCAATATACAATAACATTTCGAAGAGTTGATGTGAACCAGTTGGTTTCTTGAAACTCTAAGGTTATGTTAGGTGTGGTTCAAGCTGTTTGATGTCATCTATTGCGCTTAGTATAGTCACTCGGCTGAACTAGCCTTTGTAAATTTGACAGTCAATTGGACGTCCATCTGTCTTGAGTTTAAGCGAATGCATTCCTTACATGGTCATGGGGTTGTTGAAACCGTCAACTCTCTAGTTATACTGTAGCGGTAAATAATTCCCCAAAATCAAATAGCTCTGTAAGTTTTCGACATTGTGTGCTGACCACAGTTTTAGTGGACTCATCTAGCTGAAGGCGCTCGGTCAAGCATCCGCACCAGATCACGTGTGGGTACGCCGTGCTCAACATCTGCCGCAATCGCTAGCCAGATTAGTGCAAACGATCCTCGATATATTGATAGCTTATCAAATATATCTTCGATCTCCTCACTTCTATCTTTTGATTTTACTTGGTGGGTGCACTTCATATTAGGTGTTACTGGTTAAAGCCCGACATGATCTGGTACACCATATTGTAAACTGTGAGTCTGTTCGTTTTTGTGATTTTATATATCATTGTCTTATTTTAATTTTTTAACATTGTGATCTTTTTTTCCGTGTTTTTGGGTTTATATATATATTTCCCACTCGTTCACTTTTCGTACTTGATATATTACTATGACTGAACAGACACCTAAAGTATTTAAGTTAAAGACTGTGTCCCCACCCTCTTTCCAACTAATGCCTTTCTGGCCAGACAACATCGAAGCCTGGTTTTGTTACGCAGAAGCCGACTTCTTCGAGCACGGTGTGAACGATACGCGTACACAATTCCTCGCAGTAGTCAAGGCACTACCGCGCGAATTTAACAGGTATGCAACACCTAGTATGTTTACTAGTGATGTTTCTGATCCATACCGAACCCTGAAACATGCCATCCTTAAACGCGGAAATCTAAACGATCGACAAAGTTTAGACCAACTCCTCAACAGCATCGACCTGCAACACGGTTCTGCCACAGACACGTTGCAGAGAATAAGAGAAGTGATTGGCCAAAGAACCTTCGATGACGGCCTATTCAAACAACTTTTCTTATCAAAACTTCCTCAACAGGTGCAAGCTGTGTTGGTCTTGTTCCAAAACAACGCCGTAGACGAGCTAGCTGCATCTGCCGACCTCATTCTCGAAATCACTAGGTCTTCTAACGCCGAGGTATTTTCAGTCAAAGAAAAGCCTCAAACCACCCAGAATGACATAACAGAGTTATGCCATACACTTACGCGTTGTCTCAAACTTCGTAACGACCGTAAACGGTCACACACCCCGCGGAGAAGCACATCACGCAGGCGGTCTGTATCTAGACCTCGAGAGATGGATAATCCTGACTGGTGCTGGTACCATAACCAGTACGGAAAGTCCGCCAGAAATTGCAGAAAACCCTGAAATTTTCCCAACGCGAAATCCGTCGACGCGAAGAACGTTTCGGGAAACTTCCAAACCGGCTACACGAGCCCGTTTTAAATCTACAGGCGGCAAATGGAAAGCCTATCGCTACGTATGGCAAAAGGTATGTTTATCTTAACGTGGGTTTACGCAAACCCATTCACTGGATTTTTGTTGTTGCAGATGTTTCTATGCCAATCATTGGTATGGACCTTCAACAACACCACAACTTAATTATCGATACGCGCAAACGGAGGTCAGTAGACGGAAACACTAATTTATCTGTTTGCCTGACTTCTTTTTCTGGTTGCAGGTTATCTCTAGTCACTATTGAGCACACTGTAGACCATTTCTACCAACCACCACTCGATAAGTATTCTGGCATTTACCAATCGCAATCGAAATTGCCGTGTGTAACCAGCAATGTTACACATCACATCACGACTACAGGACCACCTGTCTTTCCGAAAGCACGCCGACTGGCCCCCGAAAAGTTAAGGTTGGCGAAAAACGAACTCGACCATATGATAAACTTAGGAATCATACGACCGTCAAATAGCCCATGGGCATCTCCGTTGCACATGGTCCCTAAAAAGGACAACAACAATTGGCGTCCAACTGATGACTATCGGAGATTGAACGCAAAAACCATTCCCGATCGTTACCCGTTGCCCCACATTCACGATTTGACAGCTACCTTGAAAGGTACAACTGTCGTTTCGAAAATCGACTTGGTAAAAGCTTATAACCAAATTCCTATGGCCACTGAAGACATTCCAAAAACCGCTATTATAACGCCCTTCGGACTCTATGAATTTTTGCGAATGCCTTTCGGTCTGAGAAACGCCGCACAGACTTTTCAAAGGTTCATAGATGACGTTTTTCGAAGTCTCAACTTCGTACAGGCATACGTTGATGACTGTCTAATAGCAAGTCCGGACAAAGAATCAAATCTCCAGCATCTGGACCTTGTTTTCGACCGACTACAAAAACATGGCATTACTGTAAACATTCAGAAATGCCGAATCGGAACCGAATCCTTAGACTTCTTAGGACACATCATAGATGCGCATGGCATTCGACCCCTTAGAACAAAAGTGGCGGCCATTCTGGATTACCCAGAACCGACCACCATCGAGCAATTGCGCACGTTTAACGGTCTGGTAAGTTTTTATAGACGATTCATACCGAAATGCGCGTTACTTATGAAACCCCTTACCGACCAACCTCGTGGAAATGCGAAATCCATTAATCTAGATGACACTACCCGAACAGCATTCTCCACGGTTAAGGAACATATCGCCCGAGCAGCAATGCCGTGCTCAACATCTGCCTCAATCGCTAGCCAGATTAGTGCAAACGATCCTCGATATATTGGTAGCTTATTAAATATATCTTCGATCTCCTCACTTCTGTCTTTTGATTTTACTTGGTGGGTGCGCTTCGTATTAGAAGGTGCTACTGGCTAAAGCGTTGTCAAACTCCGAATATCTGTGGCATCTTCAATACTATCGCCGATGGATTGTTTGTAACACACGAAATTTTAAATGGAAATAGAATGAAGTGAAGGGAGGACAAGGGTTCAAGGTCAGTAAGCAAATTAATAAATGGCCTGCTTCTACATATTCGAACATCGTCGAACTGGAGGGGCTGAATAAATTATACAACGATATGCCCTTGGTTTTAAGTGACCACTACTCCTTGTGATTATTTGAATGTGCATGTTCTCGACTCATCGTTTGTTGTTAGACGGTAGGCATTTTGGGCTCGATTCCTTCCCCTCGAGTCCTGTCGTTTCATATTATGCTCAAACACTACTGACATTTTACAGTTGCTCAAAGTTTTTAGATAAGACCCAATTCATGAGGTACAGGTAGACATTATAACGGGACAGTGTTCGTAAACATGGACTTTTCGGAACTGTTCCTACACCGTTACACTCTCAAGCTCGTTATTCCACTTAGAACCATGGGTTATAGACCAGGGTTCTCCAATCGACCCTGCGCTGAACCCTCATTTCAAGTTGCTTCCAAGTACTATTCATTCTTTCTATGTCTGTCTTCATTTGCCTGCTCAACTTGTTCTTTAATCTACATACTTTTCTTTATACATTCAGGATTCCAAGAAAGGGCTTGCCTCTTGATCTTGTGTGGTAATTTCCGTAATGTGTGGCTCAAGCGTCACTTCCTAATTTTGTCCTCAGCTGCAAGTTGGATAGTTATTTGACGTAATAAGTTCTTGCTGATAGTATACGGTCAGCCGATATTGATTATCTTGCAAAGACAATTGTTTGCAGATAATTGTACGTTTTCGATTATGCTTGCAGGAACTTTCCGAATCTCAGCTACTGCCGTAGACCTTCCTGGATATTTATGTCAAAAATTGTGAATGGTTTTCAAGGACAGTTTTCTTCAGTTCAATATATTCTTAAATTTGAGGTATGCTGTCCTTGTTTTGTCAATTAATACATGAAATATCTGAATTAGATCATCCGTATGAGTGAAAACGTACGGACATGAAATTAACTTTTAAGAGTTCAAAAACTCTAGTTGCGACCAAGCTGTCAGTGCATCCTATCTGACGTCTTCATCTTGCAGTCAACAACCAAAGACAAAGAAAGAGAGAGGGTTACCAGCCTTGTCTGACTACGGTTCACACTTGAAATGCGACTGTGAGCTGTCCCTCATGCACGATTTCGCAGTTCAATCCATAAAAAATTTCGTATGATATTGACGATCTTCTTAGGCACGTCATAATGTCAAAAAGTCTCTATAGTGTTGTCTTGTCTAAGCTATGAAGTACTTTCTCAGTCAATAGAGTTGACGTATAGTAAAGAGTTCCATTCAGTTGACTTTTCAACGATGATCCGTAGTGTCGCGATTTGGTCTGTTCACAACCGATCCTTAAGAAATCCAGCCTGTTGACCTCGAAGATGGGTGTCTACCGAATCTTTCATCTGGTCCGGCAACACACTGTTCAAAACTTTTCCTGGTACTGAGTGGTGTGATGACTCTGTAGTTCACACACTTGCTCAGATATTTCTTTGTTATAGTGATGAGGTATTCTTTTTCCCAGTTTGTCGACACATGTTCTTCATCTCATATCTTCCTGAATAAGAATTGGAGCATGTTTGCAGTTACGTCTATGTCTGACTTCAGTGCTTCAGGTGGTATATTGTATTGTCCTGCTGCTTTCCCGCTCTTCATTTATCTGATGACCATCCTGATTTTTTCCGCCTTCAGTGGAGTGACATCTATAGAACTGCATGTAGGCGTGACTTTCAGGGTCGCTGAATTCAGTGATCCATTGAAGAGATTCTCGAAATGTTCCACTCATCTATTCCCCTGTTATTGAATATCAGTGAATGTTTTGAATTTTTTGTCTTTGACTGGTCTCTTTAGTTTACTATAATTCCCTACCAGTTTCTTCGTTGTATCTCACATTTCGTTCTCTTGCACCTTTTTTCATTGTCGCTTTCAAATGTTATTTAATATGGAAGCCTGTTTATAACTAGAGAGCATAT